TTTCAGAAAATAAAATTGACAGTAACTCGAGAAGCGAGCGGTTTTTTGGGATAATGATATCCCTAGTAGTTTCCCCAACCTGTAACAACTGAAGCATTATATGGCCTGCTAAGATGGCAATGCGTTATGGTTTCGTATCGTGGGCTTCAACGCAGCGTTCTGCATTGTTAGGTAACTTCATCTAGCTGAGAATTTTGGTGTTCACTGAACCAACTCGGTTATGTGCGCTTCCTTAAAGGAAAACTCATCTTTAAGAGAGATTGATGTTAGTTTGTCCACATTCTTAACTACCTCAAGGTCCTTTTTGTATATGTACATCAGCATTTATCGCGTTTAATATCCGGTCATACTTAATCATCCTTAACCGATCTCACCTCTAGAGATGTTGAAAGTTATGAACGAAGTGGCGAAGATGCCAGGCGAACTCTCGACGGAAGGGCGGAATTTGCTTTCTGTAGCGTACAAAAATGTGATCGGAGCGAAACGATCTTCATGGAGAATGCTCAGTAGCATCGAACAAAAAGATGGTGATGAAAATTCGCCCGAAGCTCAGGCTCAAAGGATGCTGCAGACCACTGTGGAAAAAGAACTTAGCGAAGTTTGTGGAAGTATCCTGAGTCTGTTGGACAAACATCTCATTCCATCCGCCCAAACACCTGAGTGCAAAGTGTTTTTTTACAAGATGTAAGTGAGCTTTCGATTCTTCTTTTTATATCCTTTTGTTAGGAAGGGTGATTACGAGCGCTACCTTGCGGAAATCGCCTCTGGTGACGCCCGTAAGCAAGCGGCTGAAAATAGCTTGGTTGCGTACAAGGCGGCTTCTGATATAGCCAGTCAAGAGCTGCAGACCACAAACCCTGTCCGATTGGGTTTGGCGTTAAACTTCTCTGTGTTCTACTACGAGATTCTCAACAACCCTCATCGAGCTTGTCAACTCGCCCAAGAGGCGTATAAACTTGCTGTTGATGATCTTGACAAACTTCGCGATGAGAATTACAAGGATACCACTCTCATAATGCAACTCTTGAGGGACAATTTGACCCTGTGGAACTCTGATATTCAAGGAGATGGTAAGCTTTGCAGACATGGTTACCTAATATTTTTTCATCTACAGAGACTGCGGATACTGTACAACCTGTTGCTGCTCAGTGATGGAGACTACGTTTGCCCGGCATCTAACCATCATTTCCTGAAGACGACTCTGTCGATCCACCTAACCTCTACCCATTTTCAATCACATCTCTATACAAATTTTCATTGAAGAGAAAAATTGCTTTTTGCATGGGTCCGTTCCTGAGGAGACAGCTACCATCTCATGGGGTTGATTCACATACTTATATAGGTATCTGGGAGTTTGGCGTCTTCAGCAGATTGCATGCGTCGTTCCCGATCCATTTAGAAGACTGCACGCAGTGTAGCAGTTGTCCTAAAGCGTGTGAGTCATTGTTAAACTGAAGGTTCAAGAAGCCTTCTAACTATCCTAATGTGGTGAATATGATGTCCTCGAATGACCCAGGTGTATTTGTCGTCCTATGTTCACCAATGGTGAATGTCTTCAATTCTAGTTTTGTTTCAGTTTTTTAGCATCGATTTAACGTAGCTCTCGTTGCCTAGATGTTCGCGAGCAGCTCCCATGCTACCATGTTTGTCCCTTTAGCTGCCAAACGTGCCTTGAAAATGTACCACTTAACGAATGGGGTTTAGCGCAGCTCTTAATAACGGATTTCTCGAGATGAATGCTGGCCCGTTCCCACTAGCCATCCGGTAGTTCTGCAACAGTTTGGAACGGCTGTTGGTTTTTCATACACATTTTAGTGACCCGATTTAATAATGCCGTGAAATCTCTCTATTTGCTCTTTGTCGTGTTCTTTGTTTTTATGACCGACCTGCCATTTCCCTGCTCCAGTAACCCCGTGGACTGTGCTCAATTGTACTTACTCGGACTTGATTCAGTCTCCTATACTGGTTTGGTAAGCTAAATGGTGGATGTTGCGTGCGGCGGTCATTTTCGGGGAAGGACAAGCGAAGCTATTCGTCCCCTAGTATCTAGACTGTCTGTACTCTTATGCTGATCGCCGTTGCTTTCGGGTTGACCTTTGTAGTCGGGGGCGCAAGCTAGAAACTCCAACGGCTCTCTCTAGTTTTTGGCTAACTCTAACTGTTTCTGATGCAATGTAGTCATGATCTGAATCAAAATACACATACCCAGGTGCTCCTGTTATCTTTAACTGTATTCAGTCTGTTTGTCCTCAGGCCACTTTCGCAAACTGAAATAGTGTTCACGTTAGGCTCAGCTGATTTTCTCGTTTGTAATATCCCTCAACCAAGTGTGCTGCACAACGGTCATCTCATGTTGCGTTGCGGCCAAAATGTTTCTCCCTAGTGGAATTTGTCAGGTTTAAGAAAGTTGCTGTAATTCCTATCGGTTTTCGTACTTCTGGTGCTAATCAGTTGAACCTATCCCCGAATTCCTACGTGCACACCACAGTGGACATGTGTAGAGTCAAGCACCTATTATCAGACTCAAGTGAATTATTCACGCTACTGTTTACCTAGTTTTATGATGACTCTCCTGTTTCAGGATTGAAGTCGCCAGCGTTGTGCCTGAAACTACTATAGCCTCGTGGTTTGTTGTGGTTACGGTTATTGTTCTACACCTGTATGACCAATAAACTCTAATAGACAACAGGAAATCCAGGGTTTCTTCTTATGATCTGATGTTCAGTATGTAGACAATTGTTACTCGGCGGCTGTTAACCCTATATTTTAAATTTTTGGAATGACTTGTACGTCCATGTCTTTCAGTGTGTGGGTGAACTGCCCGATTCCCTCGCCCCTTAGGGGTGTCTGAACTTTCGCACATGCACCAGAGCCTATGCGATAAATTATCTTTTGTCACCGCTACGACAAGAGGTGATTCACGGTACTTACTAACTATAGTGGATCCCAAACCTCTGTTCCAGTGCCTCAACTCGATATCTAGACACACCATCAAGGAACTTTTATTTATAAAGTTCATGGATGCACGTTGGCTGAGATATTGCCAGAACGCCAAAAATAGACAGAAGGATTGTTATCCTCAACCAAGACCTTTGACTGGCCGCAAATTAGTGGTAGTCGAAGCGAACCATTGGAGCAGTCCTAGTGCTAAGGGACAAATATCACCTCCAACTTAAATAGTCAGGAAACCGTTTATGTCTTTATCCAATGGCCAATTTGGTAAGAAAAACGTTGAATGTACATCCTCCAGTACAGCTCAGTGATTTACTGAGGTAAGAAACTCGTCGCCCCACGATAAGGTCCTATCTCTTCGCCACAGTCGTCTAGACTTTGTTCCAGTTGGAGACAGTGGGCTGCCTGTTGTCATCCTGTCTAGAAGTTGGCGCATTTCACTGCGCATTAGAGCTGACCAGCAGGTTTAGCTGCCTCTCCTAACCAAAAGGTATGCCCTTTGAATTTGACTGTTCTCTTGTACGCCGGGCAGTGTGGCAACCCTGTATGTGGAAAATATATTTGAAAGATTCGACGATTTTGTCTTTGTGAGCATTTTGCTAAACCTCGCTCCTGTCCATTGTCGTCAAGCCAATTTCCTCCATGTGATGCGAGCGAGACGTAACGGAGTGCCTTGGGTATTGCTACAGTTTTTCCTAGTTGCCTCATCCATGTCATCTGGTGGCAATAGTGTCTCAGGGGTATTTGGACAATCGCAAGTGTTGAATCCTTAGATAGAACACTTTTCACATCTGGGGTAAGATAAGGCGAAGTTTTCTCCTGATCCTCATTCTGTTCTCACTATTCAAAGCTAGTCTATTTTAGTCTTCTGAGTTGACTCAACTGAGCTTCACTACTGCGTCTGTGCATTTCACGGCAGCCCATTGATCAATCGCGATGGTAATGGTCTGATTTTACCCCGAATTGCATTTGTTTATGGTAGAACATTGCACGCGTTGGACAACCGCATGTCTGCACACGCGTTCGAACTAAAAGGGTAGCTCCAGTCCATTTATTTTCATTTCTCCAGGGTATGACTTCCAGACCGTCTGTCTGTCCTTCCAAACGGCGCGGACCAACGGGTTGCCAGTATGTTAGCAACAGATAGCTGATGAACAGGCCTGGAATCTAGTGTGAACCACCGTCCCTGATCGAGAGGAAACTTTCACTTAAACCGTTAAAAATCTGATCTGAGTTTGCATGCAAAGTCGGTGTATCGCACTGATAGCATTTGGTAGTTTTTCAGAATGCGTAGCAACCCGTACCATAGGCGCGAGGGTTTAGAGAATAACGTTAACTTTTTCGGATAAAGTTTCAATGTTCGAAATTCAGGAATTCGGTTATAAAGCCCCAAACGCGGTCCCTTGCACAGTGAAACAAATGTCCATATAACTAAAATGCCAGTCATTGTTAGACATTTAGTGAGAAGATAGTTTTCTTCACAGGAAGGATAGTAGCCGGTTCTAAGCCATTAATTCTTGATCATTGACGCCGAATTCGGGGTTTCGCGCGAACATGGAAGAGTAGCCTCAACTATAGCGGACTGTTATGTTTCGAGACACGTATGCTCTTGTGAAAATTGACAGTCAGGGAAGGTCTCAACAGACAGCTGAAAATTTCCTGTACTCAGTACGGCAGGGAAGTACAAGTTATCAACCAAAAACACTAATTCACTCGTTTCGCCTGCCTCCATTTGGCTGTACAAGTATGTTCACATCTTGGAATTTTTGACAGGATTCACAATCTCTGTCACCGCGAACCACGGCTCCCCAATATACCTGCTCGAGATAGAGGGCAAGCTTATTGACCCGAAGGTCCTTGGTTTGAATCCAACCTCGATATCTCGACTGCTCCTGTCTAGGTCTAGGCAACCTGGCGGTATCTCAACACTCGTGTTCCCGTCGGATGACATGGCAGCTAGGCACCGAAAGCGTGTTACAACCGAACGGTTACTTTCTATGTGTACCATAGATACGCCCGGTCTAAGGTGCCCATGTACGCCAGAATTACCATTTGGACCGCTATGGTAGGATGCTTTGTGAACCGAAACCAGGGGTCTGTGTCTCTGGAAGGCATGCAGCATCGGCTTGGTACTCAAAGAGGCTTTGTGCGATGAGAATCTGGCTTTTCAAGACAAACAGTACGGGCATCCCAGCTGCCTATATGCAGTGCATTCTCGGTCCTGAGGGAAGATGAGGAGGCTCAGATTGCGCGTTTTTCACCACGACGATTAAACTAGCGTCAGGAGCGAAGCGTTGCACATAGGTATATTCACAGATTGGCACGAATCTATGTGAGAGCGACGTTAGCAGCACCATGGCTTTTGTGCTGGAACGCACTTCTAGTCTTTGCGGAACGGTCGGAGAGGTCGCTGGGACATGTGTCGACGTCAAGCCCGCTCTGGCCTTTACACATTCAAGTTCAGTCCACAGGACAGTTGGTCTCGTAGTTGCCGGTGAGCGTCACCATTTGTACACCAATGCGGTAGGACCACGTACTAACCAGATGTCCATATTCTTGTGACACGTGAAGCCCCTATAAGGCGGGGTAACGCTCGTCATGTGATGTCAAGTGGCCTAAGTGGCGTTCTGCAGAAGGCCCGGATGCCGACCGGAAATCCACCGCGCCCTGGTGGCACCAGAGCCCCGTTAGTCATGCGCAACTAGAGTAAATCCATGCGGCGGTGTCTTCTCTAGGGAGACTGAGACTCGTCATGTCTCAAAATCTCTTACACCGTAACAATTTTGAGTGTCTCCAAGTTCGTACTCCGAATGACCCAACCAGCAGAATTCGTTTTTGCCTTATTAGTGTTTGCTGTTCGAGGTGCTTCCGTGTTCGGAACGAAAATTATACCATCACTCCTAGGCAACCTAATATCCCTCTGTTCTTTTTTGTGCGCCAGGGATTGTTTGGTCTCTTTCTAGGGTTTCTCAACAGGGATTAAGAACTGGCATGATCATTCCAATATAATCCGGGATAAAGGACTTGATATTCCAAGTATTCCAGTCATTCGTAAGATGTTGATGACACTGACAAACGATGAGAAAACCAGAGGTTCGATCGGTTGTTCATATTGATCTGGCGATTGACTGCTGCGTCACTCCTCCGTGGGGTCAACAAGACAATGTTCGGGTTTTTTGTTGGTGCATTTCCATGTGAC